TTTTGTGTCACATTCCAGCAGTTAATAATAAAAACTACATTTATGTAGCTTGCTTACATTATTTATTAAAAATTATCTTTTTTTTAGTTTTCATGTAAAATATATGCAAAATTGATATGCATGATGTGTTGTTATTTTAGCATTTTTATGATGATAATTAAATGTTAAAATAAATCATTCAAACTCTTGGATGTAACGAACAAACCATTTTGTTCCCTATAAAAGTCAGATATAATGAACTATTTAGATATTCTGATTTTTTTTTTTTCATAATTTCTTCAAGTTTTAACTTTATGTTACTATTTACTTCCTTGTATGAAGTAAAAAGGAAGTACTGTACAAAGTCTAACCCAGACTTGTCGGGACTTCTGCAATTCTGGATTAGGGTTTTTTCCGGATTATACATAGTGTATTCGGAAACTAAGTACCGTTTCATTCTAGCACCGTCGCAGTGCTGTGGTAGGCATCCGGCGCATGCGCGCTAGTCTTTCTTGTTCACTGACTTTCAATTGTCTCCATTTTGGTTGCTCTATGTTGTGTTTTTAGTTTGCTGTGTACATTCAAAATGTTTTTAAGACAATTAGTTCTCCCGCTGACTGTGAGATTCGTGCCGTGATTAAATTTTTGAACACGAGGAATGTTAACCGGCCGAAATTTATCGTCAAGTGACAGAAGTTTATGGTGAATACGCGAATGTGATGGAATGGTGAGAAAGTGGGTAAGCATGTTTAATGCAGGTCGAACAAATGTCCACGCCGAGGCTCGGAGTGGTCGGCCTTCTGTTGTCACCGATGATTTGGTAAGGAAAGTTGATGAAGCAATTCATGAGAACAGACGCTTCACAATGACAACTCTTTCAGAGGCATTTTCTCAAATTTCACATACTGTTTTGTTCGAAATTGTGTCTGACCGCTTGAATTATCGCAAACTGTGTTCCCGATGGGTTCCAAAAATGCTCGCTGATGTTCACAAAACAAAGCGACTTGGTAGTGCCCTGACATTTCTCACGCAGTAGAGTGATGAGAGAGAAAACTTTTTAAACCAAATTGTGACAGGTGATGAAACTTGGGTGTGTCATTTCACACCAGAATTGAAACAACAATCGATGGAGTGGAGACACACTCATTCTTCAAAAAAAAACAAAAGCTCAAAATGACAATGTCATCACAAAAAATCATGTGCACTGACTTCTGGGATAGGAAAGGCATTTTGCTTACTGAATTTCTTCCCAGAGGTGAAACCATTAATGCGGCACGATATTGTGAGACTTTAACCAAAACTAAGGCGTGCCATTCAAAACAAACGAAGAGGAATGCTCAGTAAAGGAATTGTGTTGCTCCATGACAATACTCGGCCCCATACTGCTGGTGTCACTCAATCGTTAATTCGACAGTTTCATTGGGAGCAGTTCAATCACCCGCCGTACAGCCCGGACTTGGCGCCGTCTGACTATCACTTGTTCCTGCACATGAAGCGCGAGCTTGGTGGCAAGCGCTTTGGATCTGACGATGACACGAAAAATGCTGTGGAGTCGTGGTTATCGAAACTGGCGGGAAGTTTCTTTGATGATGGTATACAAAAACTGGTCACCCGCTATGACAAGTGTTTGATCATTGGCGGAAACTATGTTGAAATATAGTTTAAGACATGTATTTTCACGTAAAAATAAAATTGGATTCGATAAAATTGTTTTATTATTTTTTTTTTCAAAACGGTACTTAGTTTTCGAATACACCTCGTAGATCATCAATTTAAATCTGGTAATATGGCATGCAGAAATGATAAAATTAAAAATATGAAACCATAATTTATGAAATAAAGAGCAATTATGATCTAAACAATATCAAAATTTACAAAAAAAAAAAAAAAAAAAAAAAAAAAAAAGCTTAATATTTATTTGTTTACTTTATTAAACATTTCTTTCAATGTAAGTTGTTTAAGTTGCTTCATTTTTTGTGCTAATACTTTCTCTTTAATTCTATAAACTGTCATAATTTCTTGTTCAGTTTCACTGTTCAAGTCCTGTAATTGCTGTGTCGAGAATACTGACTAACTTGTGAATCGAAAGTTTTTCGTCTTCAATAACCTGTCTGTCACTTTCTTCACCATGGGAAGCGGTACATCGAAACATGCTTTTGCTTTGTAGATCCTTTGGCAGCTCCAGAATCGGAAACTCTTTTTGACATAATCGAAAGTTCAAGCTTACTTTTTATAAAATTGCTCTACTAGTCTGTAAAAAATAATAAGCCAGATCCGATTAGAAGATTAAGAAAAAACGCAATCTGCAACATTAACTGAAATAGATAATTAGATAATTTTAGCCTAGCTTATACCGTCCATTATATATTAAATGCGCATGCGTAAATATATTATGCACATGCGTAAATGCATTATGCGGTTACGCATGCACAGAAAGTTTGTAGCTTTGAGGTCCGGATAATAAATCATTCCAGATTATGGACATCCGGATTAAAGACTTTGTACTGTATTGTAATCGTGAAAAGTTTCTGCCATCATATTTCAATGAAAAAATCGGTGCTACACAAAGCCAAAATAACAAGACAAACAATTGCACAAACTCGGTATCCATGTACACATCGATTTATTTTCACTTAAAAAAAAAAAAAAACCTCCAAATTGCACAAAAATGGCATTGCGCACTCCTTTGACTTTATCCATGTACACGTTGACCGATTTTCACTTAAAAAAAGTCCCAGAATTGCACAAACTTGCATTGCGCACTCCCTTTACTTTGTCCATGTATACATCGATATATTTTCACTTAAAAAGTCAAAGGAGCACCAAAGTCTACAATATAGGCAAACAAAAAATACATAATCTCAATAAAATACTATTTAAACCAAACAATAAAATTTAAAAATAAAAAAGGGAAAACATGTTATACATTTAAGCACTACCAAAAGCAAATATTCACTTACCATGATTTTCAAATTCGTTTTGTACACCCAAAGCCACGTAAAAATCAAAATATCAATCATACTCAAATGACTTTTTTCAAACCAGGTACTCTTTCTGATCAAACGCTTCACATAGTGACTATCTGAGTCTTTATTCCTACAAACCCATTCAAATCCATCTAAACGGTTTTAACACACACCACAAAAACGCTTACAAAACATCCCACGATTCAAAATTTCCCAGAATCATGCACCCGATTATGTCACAATAGGGTTTCCATAACATTCAACTACTCAGGCTACCATAAATGAAACAACAACTTGGCGATAAATCAAACAACAACTTCGCCATAATACAAGGGGTACCTTAAAGTCTACTCTACTCCCGGCTCAGTAATCTCAGTTTCTTTACTCTTATAAGTTTGCAAGTTTTGCATTTTTTGCTTTAAAAATAATTGAATTATGTTGTTCTTATCTTCCAATTAAGGTTTTTATGCCTTTAGTAAACTTGCATGTTAATATCTGTGGAATTATCAACAATTTAAAAGTTGTTTAAGTGCAGCTAAGCCTAATTATTTTTGCTTTGATAGTCATGTTTGTTTACATTTGAAACTTGGCAAAATAGTGGATTTGTTGCCAATCTAGAGAAACTAAGTTTTCCAACAACAAAGATAACATCTTCTTTTATTATTGCAAATCAAATCATGTTTAATACATTCTGGAATTTATTCAAGAAAATAAGTGTTTAGAATTTACTTTGTAATTTTGAATATATATATTTTGAGTTTTTTTTTTGTATTTTTGCCTTGTCAGAACTGAATTAAGAGAGAACTGAATTAATTGAATGAGAAATACTGAATCGTCTGTGAAAACTTTCTTTTTTTTTGTTTGCTTAATTTCTTTTATACATCATTTTAGATTTATTATAGTATTTGAATAAAGCATGTGGCAATGATTAGATAGTTCTTCAAATGATATAAATTTATATGCATTCTGAGTTATAATATGAATGAAATGTAACGCTGTTAAGTGAATTTAGTGCCAGAATGTCGCTGTGGTAAACAAATATAGTGAATTTTAAAGAGTGCATTTATTCGGTTATGGTTTATGCGCTATCGACGAAGTAAATTTAGTTAAATCCCAATAAGTTTAAATGAATGCAAGAAAAAATGCATATAATTTAATATTCCGTACAAGGAAGTCATGTGGTGTACACATCAGATTTTTTAATCATCATCATCACTTTACTCAGTGTCCAGTGCAACAGCTTTGCAGGACAGGTGTGAACCCAGTTATATAAACATATTGTAATACACCATATGGTGTGTATGAGTATTGAACCAATGAACAGGAATGGGTTCTGTGATTCCCTTTCACATTCTTTGAGTTCTCAGACAGAGCTTTGTTCAAGGATGATGCTACTGTAGGAATTTTGAAATCTGGACTGTGAGGAAAAGAGGGAAAAGCAGGAATCGACAAAAATTTAGCTAAAGAAAACCTGGGTTTAAAACATTTAAATGTTTGCACAAATGAGAAATCTGAGAACCAGCAATGGAAAGTGTAGTTAGTTTGCTTTTTAGAAAACGAAAGTTTCACTTGCATACAGAAATATTAATAAGCAACTGTTGTACAGACTAGAACACCGAGTTAACTTAAAGATAGAGCAGAATATCTCTTTCAGGCTTGACTAAGTTTCTGTTTTGTATCAAGGAGTATTGACAACATTTACTGGCTGTAAGAAGTGTCAGTACAGTGACTCCTACAGACAACTAATATCTCTCACTTCAAATGACATTACAAATTGATTAAATTGGACTCACAGGTATATAAAATTGATCGAAGGCAAGTAGATTTCCATGTCTTTCACAAGTTAGTCCAGATATTGTGACATCCAATATTACTGGATGGTATTTGATTTGAGAGAATTTCTTAACTTCTGTCATCCCAAACGAAGTCTCTTAGAGACCCTATAGTAGAGGTTATGTACATTATGTGCAGTAAACTTTATTTCATATATTATCAGTTTTTCTTTTGTATATTATCAGTTTGTTTTGTTTTTGATTTTGAACACTTTTTTTCTAGAACTGTGCACTTCAGTATTCAAAGCTTCTGAAAGGAGTTGAAGATTTCAAGTAAATTATGTTACAGAATTTCTTCTTTTTTCCCTTCTGTTTTATGTATTTTGTTATTTTAATTTTGTTTATTACTGATATATAAAATATGTTTAGGAAAAAAGCCTTACCTAGGACTGAAAGGGAAACTTCAGAAGAAATGCTTGTTAAAAATCTCACCGATAAAAGGTTAAATGAATTGATGCGATTGAATCAACAAACAAGAGCAACAGCAAAGTAATTTTTATTCCTTATATAAAATTTATGCTGAATGTGTATTAGTGTATGTTAATATAGTTATTACGGCATGCTAATTTCTGATAAAAAGTAAAAATAAGTAAAAAATCTGATAAGTTAATTTCTGAAAATAATTAATCTTAAATTTTTTACTTATTTAAATTTAAATAAGTAAAAAATTGGTTGTCTTAAACTTCCAGAATAGCCAATGAAAAATACTAAATAAGTTATTGTCCATTATATTTTAGTCTGGGTGACAGTTATAGAGTCATTTAGTATTTTCCTGGTGCATGTAACATGAGACATTAACAGCAGTGGGATTCAAACTTTAGACCTAGCCAGATGGGCTTCCTCTTATATCCCAAAGGCATGCAATAAAGCGGGAGAAAATTCCTTGTGGTTGCATGCTGAAATCGTTGGGAAATTTCAAGTTGAGTTTTGGATTTTAAACATTAAATTTTTACAGTTTTTGGTACACTGACATTAAGTTGTACTTCTAAAAAAATTATTATAAAGAAATTAACTTTGCAATCTGAAAATTTCAAATTAACAACTTGAAAACAAGTTAGCTATTAAAAATGTTTTTAAATTAATTTAAAAAATTTACAAATATAATTAAATCATTTAAATACTTTGGTTTTCTTATTTAGTAAAAATAATATCTGATGTTGTCAACCTGTAAAAATAAATTTCTACTTTTGTTGAATAAAATTAATACTTAGCTTAAAAAGAATTTCAATTTTAAAAATTTCTGCCTTTGTTTCTGCATTTCTTTTGTAAGCGTAAAATTATTTGAACAGAAGAATATCGAAATATTGGAAAATTATATATTACCATTTGAGCAAAATTAAAAGAATTATGTTGAAAGAGACTTGCAATGTATATATATATACATTTCATATCATATCATCATATATATTAAATTTTGCATCAGCATATATATATATTATATATACATATGCTGATGCAAAATTTAATCCTTAACTTTAGGGTCAGAAGTAAAGTTTTTGGTGCTCACTTATTATTTCAGGTGTACAGTTCCTGGAACCTTTTAGTAATTTTTAATATTTACTTTTTTTCCATATTATAAGAGATGTTGTTTTAATGTTCAAGCATTAAAATTATATTTAAAACAAATTCAGTGTTAAAATAAAATAAAAAAAAATGTTTAGTTTTTTTGCATATAATAAGTCGCACAGTGCTGGGAGTTCAGCTCGGCTTCGATCCCAAAGAAACTGGCTGGTTCCATGGGTGGTTCCTGTGGTTTTAAGTATGTGTAATATGAATATAAACTAATTTCCATCAGAAATTTCTTTATGAAGGCATCCTCCCTTATGCAGGTATCCCCTGTGTGCTGTGCCATGTTCCAATAATCATAACCTAATGGCTTCTGAGATACGAAATCGAATATAGTTTTCAAAAGAATTTCCCAACACATGGATGAAACGAAGAATGATAGTGTTTTTATTGATTTCTCTTGCATCATGTATTATTAAATTTAGAGCAGCTAATGGAGTGAAAATACTTCAAAATTTATATTTCAGTGAACATTCTCAAATCCATTTTTTCCTTTTTCTTTGCTTATTCATTTTCGTATCTTTGACCACTCATGCTCTGAAACAGAATATCCTATTTTCCTCCTGAGCCCACCAGCTGCCAAGTGGTAAAGATGCTGAACACTGGTAGTTCGGTCCGAGGTTCGAATCCTGCGAACGGGCTGGCTGCATGGGCGTGTTTTTGGGGTTTTCCCCATGTGTAACGTGTATATGAGCCAGTTTCCCTTAGAAAGTCCTCCACGAAGGCATCCCTTCCTTTAGGCAGGGTACCTCATGTGCTTTGCCATAACTGAATAATCCTAATCCTATTTTCCCCCTATATTTTTAGTTAAGATTTCATATAAATAACAACCTATAAAGCCATCAGCTTGCAAACAGAATCTGGTTAAGATAGTCTGGGTGTCTTAGGCATGCATTCTTTGAAGTGTTTTCCATGCTGACCCTTTTGTTTTTCTGGAGATAATTTTAAGCATATTTTGTAGTAATGTGATGAGTTAAAAGAAACAAAATTGAATAAATTTATTATTTTTCCATTATAAGAATGGCATATTGATTAAAGTACTAATTTTTTATTTTTCTTGTGCATATAAATGTTGTACATAATTCTTTGTGTATTAAAACTAATTTAATAAAATAATACTGATTTAAAACAAAGCCTTTTGAACAAAGCTTTAATTAAATATTAATTAATGCATATTAAAATTAATATTAATTATTAATATTAAAAGGATTTTTATTGGTTTTTGCCAATATGGCCGTTTTCTTTCAATTTTGACCTTTTACAATCTGTTTCTACCTCCAGTAGGGTAAAAACTACTTTTTTAGGAATGAAAAGTAATCTCTGCTGATGGCATTATTTATTTGATTTTTGTGGTCCTTGGAAGCTCTTAGAGTCCTTAGTTTTCATGTAATACAATACATGCTATGCTTCTGAAGAATTTACTTATTTGTTTTCATAATTTATATTGTACCATTTTCTAAATTCTGCATAAGGAAAAATTCACAAAGTGTAAAATTATAATTATAGTAATAATAAACATAAATTCTTGTATGACATTTGTTGACATGTTGTTAATTAAGAAATCAAGAATTTTCTTAAAATGCAAAGTGCAACAGTTTAATATCTAATATATATAACATATCTAATTTAATATAAAAATGATAATAGATATTAATATTAAGCATTACATGCAATACTCTATAGTGAAGGATGTGAAAGGGGAGATTACAGATTAAGTTAGGAGAATTACAGATTAATTGAGAAATAAAGCAATTATATTAGATGAATAAAACATGAAAGATTCCTGAGTTTATATGTCTCGTTCACTATTGCAATGAACATAGTATTTTTAAGAGACTTCCTGGTCTTTCAACTCCCTGGTGATCTGTGGCAGTTTCCAAAGGAAAATGTTGCAGTGAAAGGATGAAGATTTTCTGATGCAGTATTGATATCCACAAAACTAAATGAGTTACAAACCTACTTCCAGAAATAAGAGTGCTGTATAAGGCAGTGTGATGGTATGCAAGGTGATGTTCTGAAGTTGATGGCATCTGCCAGTGTGTAGTTATATTTTAAAAGGGTTTTCCAGGAATTAAATTATTATATTACAAGTATTATTGATTACATTATTTTGTGGTTTGATTTTTTTCTGAATGGTAGTTAAATTTAATTTTTCTGTGATTTGGAAAAAATTATTAATATATAGATTTCATGTGTTTATATATAGGAGTTTTATGAATTTTTCCAGCACATCAATAATTTTGTTTTTTTGGACTGTTTGTCTTGATCATGGGAGTTTCTTTTTCTCCCATTAAAATTATATTTTTTTTATTGCATAAAATGTATTAAAGTAATTATTTTATAACACTACTTATTTATTAAAGAATTTTTTTTTTTTTATTTTTTAAGTGTCTTAAAGATTTATTTAGAAATGGTTGAAAGTGGTGAATTTGATGAACATATAGATGATTTGTTGAAACAGATAGAGGAGTGAGTATTATTTAAAAATTTTTTTTATAGATTGTCATGCATTGTAATATCAGTTTTAATTTTTTTTATCTTGTATATAATTCAGAATTTCTGCTTCACTTTTTACTGTTATTTCATAGATGATGTATGTTAATTTTTTCTATATTTTAGCTTAGAAAAACGTGAAGAAGAAGACTTAAATGAATACTTGACAAAACGAGAAAATTTAAATTCTGCAAAAAAATTAAATAAATGTCGCATCACCTTAAGTAAAGGTAAAGCTCCCCTAAGAGCAGTTGAATCAAAGCGAAAAAATTCTCCAAATTCAGATCTGTGTGAAGATGCTTCATCTCAACATCCTGCTCCAGATATAGTAATTAAAACTGAGGTTAGTATTCAATTTTAAATCACATTCTTATACCACCAAAAGCATTATTTAGCTCTGAACTTTTTATTTCATTATTATTTGCTCATGCAGTTAGATTTTTACAGTTATACTAAGTGATCGTACATTCTTTATTTCACTGCTGTGAGCGTCAAATTTTTTCTGCCTTTAAAATATTCACTTTTATATTATTTTTTAAATATTTGGAATTGAAATAGCAAATTGAATAATGATACAGGCCTGAGACACAGAGTCTGTAGAAGCAGGATACTGCTATTTCTCCAGCACTTTCTAGGGGCACGACATCTCAGCTACAGGTGTGGTGCTCCTAGAAACATAGTCATAGATATGAATGGGTCTTTAAATTGTGACATTGCAATGTTACTGGTATACATTCAAAAGTAATTCTGTATTTAGGAAGTTCATCTGAAATATATTTTGTTTGAGCAACTGAAACATAATATTTGTTATTGTATATTTGACTTTGTTTTGTAGACCTGTTATTATGACTTTCTTTCCCTTCCCCTCAAAAAGAAAGATTAGGGAAAAAATAAAACAGATTGTGAGATCAAATGTAATAAATGTTTGCTTTTTTAACAAAATTATTTATCAGGAAGTAAAAATGTTAGTGCTAAATGGAGCATCTTATGTTACCATTCTGCAAGAGTTAATCATTTATTTCAGTCATGGGGTAACTTCACATTTAGTGAAGACATATTTTATGAAAAGTTTTCATGATGGAACAAAAGCAGAAGCAGTCTGTTATTATACTTTTAGTACACATTTTTCTTGATGTAGTTAATATCAATCTATGCTAGTTACTGGAGTATTTATTCGGAGTTGGAAGGCATGGGAACTACTCTTATATGCGCCCTAAGGTCGCCAAATTTCTCTCCGTGGTGCCATATTACTATCTGAATTTTTTTGTCTACATTTCACACTTTAAGCCTAAAATGTCTGCAAAAACCAAGTTTTGAACACACAATTTAAGCTAAAAATCTGAAACAAAAAAAAAATTTAGATAGCAAAAACGTAAAGTTTCTAACCAAAAATATTTGACAAGAATCCATGTACACAGCAATATGTTTTAACTTAACCCCTTCGAGCCGGGTAGCGAAAACGCGTGCTTATCGCTGAGGCCGGCAGTGTCTTACGCGAGCGTCTCTCCAGGGCCAGGGGCTTTTTTGCTACTAAGCCTAAATCCATGAAATTTCCGAAGTATCAGCGCATTGTTTAATAATGCTCTATAGAGTATTTAAACGGCTTATGCTTTATAAATATTTTTATATATATACTTTAATTACCTTATTTCTTGTTTAAATGCATATTTTACACATTTTATTTTAATTACTCACCATTTTATGAATTTTAACATTATACATCTGAAAACTAAATATATTACTTAAAATTCTCTTTTCGTATGAAAAATTTGAAAACAGGGACCTACACACAGTCCTACGTTGCATTCCTTGCACTCGTAATAACTCATTTGCCGTTTTGGAGGATTTTTCCGGGAATGTGAACAAACGAAGCATCGTCGTCTCATTTTCTTATCAGTCTCTTCTGAACAAAGTTTTGGAAAATGTCTTTCAGTTAATCTTTCAGAATCAATATCAGAATATCAGAATTTCAGAATCAATATCTGAAATATTTTGCATCATTTCTGCTATTTCATGCTCTGTTAAACATTTTCGACGCTTCGACATTGCAACGTAAAAACAAAGAATTCACGTCTAACAAGATCTAATTATTTTCTAAAAACTGAACTGCAAACCGAAATACCCAATGCTTTAGAGCACAAAAAACTTCTCTACTTACAGTAAACAACTACCACGTGCGAATAAAGTGCGATTTAAAGAGACGTCATAAATCATGCCATTCGGAAACATTTATTTTCCCATTTGTTTATATAATCAAAAACACGTGTATGTGAGTCATGCTTCTCTCATTTCGAGTAGAAGGTCTAATTTACATGTATCTGAAACCATATGGACATACAGTGCCATCTTGTGGCAGAAATTATAGTTTGAAAAACGTTCCAAAGTACTGGCACAAATACGTGACAGTCGGTAGAGAACGGAACAATCCTCTGGCACGCCTGCGTGTCGGCCGGTAGGTAAGTGTGTTCGTTGCTGGCACGTATACGTGACAGCGCGGAGGGGTTAAAAAAAATCCACAAATTGCACAATATAGGCAGCGAGGGAATCTACGAACTAGGCACACTTCACTTTAATAAATTAACATAACAACAATAAATTTCAAAGAATACTACGTACACAGCATTCTGTTTAAACTTTTAAAAAAATCTACGAATTGCACAATCTAGGCATTGTGCACAAATCAACAAAATAAACTAAAATAAATTACAAATAATTTGCGGTGCCATATTGCTATCTAAATTTTTTGTCTACATTTCAAACTTTAAGTCTAAAATGTCTGCAAAAACCACGTTTTGAACACACAATTTAAGCTAAAAATCCAAAACAAAAACAAAAAATTTAGATAACAAAAACGTAAAGTTTCTAACCAAAAATATTTGACAAGAATCCATGTACACAGCGATATGTGTTAACTTCAAAAAACATCTACGAATTGCACAATATAAGCAGCAAAGGACTCTATGAACTACGCGCACCTCGCTTTAATAAATTAACATAACAACAATAAATTTCAAAGAATACCATGTACACAGCATTTTGTTTAAACATCAAAAAACATGTACGAATTGCACAATCTAGGCATTGTTCACAAATTTACAAAATAAACTAAAATAAATTACAAATAATTCAAAAAACAACTATACCAACAGAAATTCATAGTAAAAAAAACGATGAATATAGTATTCTACAAAATAAAAACAAAAAAATAAATAAAATGCACTTAAAATAAAAACAATAAAATAAAATGCACTTACCATAATGGATGTTTTTTCGGATAGTAGAACATAGCTTTAACGTGCTGCCACGTACTCTCTATGGTATTTATATGACAGCCAGACTCGCTATCCACAAAATTCATACTATGGTTCACAAATAAATTTTCAAAACCTTCTTTTCCTAAATCCTTGTAAGATTTCCAGCCATCCGAAAAAATAGTTGTACAAGGCTCAATCCACTCTTTAATACAATGCATCACCGTTTCCTTAGTTCTATCATGCACAGCCACTAAAAATAATCTTCCAGACCCTCTTGCAACCACGTCTCTCATTGCAACATTTCAAAACACACACGAACCAACAAGCGATTAAAACATTCCAGCAAAAGAGTATTCAACGCCAAAAGAGTATATATATAACACGCACGACATATATATAACAAAGTATTATACATATATATAACAAACTATTATTTTCACCTATTCTCTGTCAAATGAATTTTACATTTTCATGATGTAAAATTTAATTGGCATTAATTGTTTTGTCTGTATATCCAGTAACTATATGAACAATGATGTTTATTATCTTCCAGTTAATTAAATTACCCAAAATGGCTGTTTTCTGTCAACATAGGACCACTTAGTATCAAACATAAAAGTTGGCATGAAATCTAATTATATTGGAACCTAAAATGTACAGCTTCATGAACAGAGTTACTATTTTATTAAAGCCAGAACAAATACAAAATCATTGGCAATGAAGAATTATGAAATAAATTTCACCAAACTAAATTCAGATTACACAGGGCATATAAAGCTGTTGATTTCATTAAACATTACTAAAAACATTTGTGTCTTCTCATGTAGTTAATGTCACATGAATGTGATTAGGGAGAAATCTGGATAACGGTGGGCGGTGCTGTGTTAACATTTACTTTGTCATTTTGCATTGGTGCACAATCTCATCCCCCCCCTCAAAAGAGATCAGCACTTGAACAAAAAAGCAGCTGAAAAATCTACCAGGAAATATTACTGGATTGATATTCATTCTTTTCACTTATTCACAATGATGTCATTCCATAACTACTTGTGACACAATATAAATTGACTAATTTGATGCTTTGGTGTATAATTATAACTGGCACCCTATTGAGAGAAAAGAACTGCTATTATTTAAAAATGTATTGACATTTTTTCGTCTATACAATAAAAGCAGAAAATTTTCAATTTATGATGATGTAGATCTTTAATATAAAAATCTGCTAAGTTATTGAAAATTTAGATGTTAACCATTCTACCAAAATTAGGAAAACTGCTAAAATTTTACCTTTTCAGAAATGCTTTTTGATTTTAGGAAACTCTTTTGATGATATGTTAGTTCAGGATTTCTTAAACATTTTGGTATGGGGACCCCATAATATTTATGAAAATTGTGCGGGACTCCATAAGCATTGCACAAATCCGACACATGTGCGAGTGAAACATTCAGTTTCTTCACATATACTGTAATATACTATTGCAGTTTTCGGTCATTAACTTTAATTGTTAATTTTAAGACATAAAGCTATGTGAAATTTTAAATAAGTAACTTAAAAATATAGTACAATTAAAAAAATAAATTCAAGTACTTTGGTAAATTCAAACATTAACTATAGTCTGTGCATTAAGTGTAACCACATAGAAAGTCACTACTGAGAAAACCCACTTACTTCTAACAGTGGATATCTGAGCATTAAGTATCAATGGGAAGGTGGTACCTATTTATTTTAAATTATATTATCAAATCTTGGCAAAATAGTCAACACAGCAGTTGCACTTCTTCAATATTCTTTACATTTGATCAACATTTTGATTTTATAAGTGGTTAAAGATGTCTCACACAGATATGTAGTAGAAAAAGGTAAAATAAAGTTTAAGGCAGTTTCAGAAATTGTTGGAAATTCTTTTGCGTTTCCTAGCCAAAAAGGACTTTATATTAAAATCAGTTTTCAACCCCAAATCATTTGATAACTCGGCAAGTTCTTCTTGCAATTTTAATGGCAAATGTGTAATATTTTTCACAATAATTCTGAATAGTTGCACAATCTTTATTTGTCCTTCTGCACTAAAATTTAAAGGGAAATATTTCT